ATATCGATTTTTGTAATTACATCTTTGATGTTAGTTTGTTAATTTGATCTCTAAAATTAATTAAATTTTACATTGCATCATGCTAATTTGATCATACCTTAAAATGACAAGTATGCTTCTTTCTTTTTCCAGCTGTCCTCAAAAAAATTCAGGAATAAAAAAAAAAAACGAAAAAAAGGCATCATTTAGTGGCAGCTTTGCCACAACTAATTTTTAGCATTTTCAAATTAAATTATTTTAAAGTAATAATACTTTTGAAATTGCTAATAAATGTAATCTATTAAATTTCAAATTTTAAAACTTACAAATAATTAATTTATTATTTTAGAATCGTGCATCATGGGATGTAACAGTCGTATATACATTAATATGCTCATTAATTATCGAATTAATTGCTATCCTTTATTTATTTTTACCACGAGAATTTTGTTGTGAAAATTATGAATATATGGCAGCACCATTTAGTGCCTTTGCTATAACTATATTTATACTATTACTTTATGGTGTTATTACATATGCGGAACGATATTCGGAAATTTCAAGTAATTAAATTTTAATTCTAATTAAAATGCTTGCAAAAAATAATAGCATTCAAATGATTGGATTAATTAATTAAATTTTTTTTTTTTTTTTGTTACAATTTTTTACTGAAAAAATTAAATTGTAAAAATTTGTTTTAATTTCTTATAAGATTGAAATTTAAGAAATAAATGAAAAAAAAACTTTCACTTCGTCATTAGATATTTCCTTTTTTTTTTAAACGAAAAAAACTTTTTGTTAAACTTTTTTTTAGGAAAGACTTCCGATAAAATTTTTACTTTTTCAAGAAAAAAAGCTCTTTTGTTAAATTTCCTTTTTTTTATTCTAGTATTACTTGAGGCTTTTTCACAAACCGAAGGACATAGTGGATTACATCCATCAATGATTACTATTGGCCTTGGTTATAGTTATTACTTATCATGTATTGCTTCTGTATTTTCTTTCTTATCACTTATCACTGGTACACTTAATGTTACCTTAGCATGGTGTTTTCTTTGGTAGTAATAATAATAATAATAATAATAGTAATAAATATTGTTAATAGTATTATTACATTCTATTTGTTTAACATGAAATATATAAAAATATTTCAAAAATTAGAAATAAATTAAAATATATGTTTCGAAATATAGTTTTAAAAAAAAGGAAAAAGTAGGCAGAAAAAACAATTAAAAGTAAATTTTGTTTTGTAGAAACCAAAAAAAAAAATTTCAATTTTAAATTAATAATAAAATAATTACGTGAAATTTTCCATATTTTTTGCATTTACTTCATCATGCATTTAGAATAATTGAGCATATATTTACAATATTTATAATATTCACGATAATTAATCATATCGTATTTTTCTATTTCATTCCATTTTATTTATTTAAAAAAATTTTTTGAAAACATAAAAAAGAATGTTAGAAATTTGAAGAATAACATGAAAATGAGATAATTCATTGGATAATATGATAGAAGTTCATTCCTCAATTAAAAAAGAATTAAAAATTTTTTCATCATATCTTGTTTATATGTGTTTCTGTAATTCAGAACAATTTTATGCACATCCGAATAAAACAAAAAAAAAAAGTGAAAAAAAATACACTGAAAAAGGTGAACGTCTTATGATTCCAAGGAATGAAGAATAATTTGAAGATAACAATGATAAGATAATAAAATGTTAGCATTATAATCTGAAATTAAAGAAAAAAAAAGCAACATTTGAAAACTTCAAGAATAGCTAATGTAATTAAGGAAGAACAATATTGTATGGATTACTTAACATTCTAACATTTATTGGTAATACAGGAAAAATTAAATCAGCAAATAGTAATTAGACCAAATGGTATAATAAATGCTTACGTTTAATGCTTTTTCGTCCAATTAGACGTCAGTAAAAAGTTTTGAAATTCTTGAAAGTTTTGAAATTAAAATTTATTAAATTAAATTTATTAAAAAAAAAAATTAAAAAAAAAATTTTTGAAAGTTTTGAAATTCTTATATATATATATATATATATATATATATATAT